GAGCATCCGTCTAATAAACCAGATTTTCATAGAGTTCCGAAGAATTCCTCGGTCCCCTTGGAGAATGATTCCGGGAAACTCGTTCTGGGAAAGGCGAGGTCAGCTTCAACGCTCTCACTTCAGCCCAAAGGACGGGGTTTATTCGAATGATGAGGATCCGCAAATATCAGGCTCCCGCTTCCATCTCTCATCGAGGTCGATCTCCCTCGAATCCTCGATATGTTGCCCGAGGTGACTCTCGGGAGTGACTGCTTTGCGCTAGCGGTCGATTTAGTCGAGACATTAGAAGTTTTGTCCCCGACTCACGTGCTTGTGTGTTCAATGGATCTGTCAACGAATCTCGATTCATCGCGCTCTTTTGTTTCCGATGAACATCGCGAACGAGAACCTTTGTTAGTGAGGAGTTTGCCCTCGAAGTCACATCGAAGAGCTCTCTTTGAGGATCGAGTTTCTTTCTGAGTTTCGGGTCCCGGCTCGCCTCGCGAATCGGCAAGGAACAGTTTGCGTAGCTCGATACCAGAGGAAGAATAGTGATTGGGTTCCAGTTTTCGGAACCTGCTCAACTTTTAAACGAAGCTGAAAATGGGACGCAGGGACGGAACCACGAAATCGTTATATTCCTCGACTTCGGTTTCGGAAAAGTCGTCGTAGAGAGGCGCAACGGCTGAACAAACAATCGAGCCTCTAAATAGAGGGAATTTCCCTTAAAATGGCCAAACAATGGAAGAGTTTCTGTTCCTCGCAGGGAAGAAACAGAGAGGGCAGGAAGAGCGAGCGAGGCAGTCGCGGGAGAGGAGGAGGTAGAGAAAGAGAGACCATGCTGGGATATTTATGAAGGGTTTCACAACCAAAGCATCTAGCAGAGCGTGAATGAAAATTGATGAACAGACCACAGCTTTGCTCCAGGCTGTGAGATTTTCCTTCAACTCTCCTTCGTTTTCTTTGTCTCCACTCCACACCCTATTTCCCTGTTGGGCCCTTTTCAAAAATGCTCCAGAGAGGCGAAGTAGCGACTCGCTTCAGCTCATACTATCCCTAGCTTTCCTTCATTTAGCCTCCTCGCTCAGCCTGTGCCCCTGATCTTTTTCGTTTCCACTGGCTCCCTTTCAATTTCTTCCCACTCAGAAGCTTTTTTCATCGGCCACATACATGCATTTGCTTCATTTCCCTGAGCCTTCCCATGGTGAGCATCCGCTTGTCTGATCGAGGGCCATTATGCTTCTAGCTTGATGGTTACCCTCTCCATGTGGTGCAAGGGAATAGATTCAGGTCTCAGCCGTCCCTCATAAATCACTACCTCTGGGAGATTTCTCCCAGTGAGATTCCCTCGGAGAACCTAACTGAAATCTTATTGGAGCTCCGGTTTCCGTGATTGAGCCCCATTGCCTGAGTCCGGAGTCAGGGTTATTCTATGGAAGCAGGCGAAGGGAAAAATGGGAGCGCGCTCTAAGTTTTCGGTCGACATTCTTGGCCCTCTAATGTAAGCGTTCGACCGACCGTCAGGGAGCCGTGCTACATTGATCTCCTGAGTAGAGGATGGCAAGAGGACAGAGACTTCAAGGACTGGAGTCGGGTCCAAGCTCGCCGGGAGACAGAGCCCGAGCGAGGTGCAGGTGCTTCGAGAGACGTCCGGGAGAGAGCCGATCTCTAGTTTCTATGTACGCTTTCTGAGTACTGTGCACTATCACGTGATTCTCCGCTGCTGCGTTCATATCGTTTCCTCATTACGTTTCCCTCTTCCATCTTTCTCGGCCTGGCGGTCGAGCGACTGAGAGGGATCTTTACGTCGCGATTAAATATTGAAAACACAACGAAAAAAAAGAACGGGCGGCACGGCGGAGGAAGTGCATATTGCCCGAATCCCAGGTCCGCCGCTCCTGAGCTCCTGAGCTCGCACTCGGGCGAGCGGAGAAACCATCAGATCAACGGACAGACATTCTTCTAGCTGAGCTTCAGAAGGTTGGGGCCGATCAAGGCGCAGCGACCGACGGCGTCGCACGTCTGTAATGACGATAGGAGCCCGAGCACTTCTTTATACCTCCCTGATTTTTAATATCTTGCAGATTCTCTGAGATTTCATTTCGAATAGATTAGCGAGTCAATGAGGGAAACCATTCTTGACGCTTTCGGTCTGACGGGACATCGGGTTCAAGACTCTTCCTTTTCGGAAAGGGCCGAGGAAATCGAACAGACATAGGTATAAAGGTTGTCCCAGAGCGTATGGGAGACATACGGCTCAGGGGTCTCATATGGGGCTGATATACGCATACATATCTAGTAATGATAATTATAAAACATATTATGCATGTCGGACGATTTTCCGAGAATAACAAACGTCTCATGAGCCCGTGGCTGCTAAGCCCTGACGGTCAGCGGCGCCATTGCTGAGATCCCTTCGACCCGGGTCCCGAAGTGAGCCAGCCGAATCGAGGAGGATCTCCCGTCCGCTGGATTTTCCTCCTCGATTGTTCAGAGGAATTCAGTGGTGAGGGCGGATAGCTCGGAACTTGAGTCCCACGGAAGCGGCTCAATCGGGGACGAGAGCAGCGGCCCCTCTTTTGTGAAGTGCCAAAACTCAAGGAGGTATCGGTGCGACTAATTTTTCCCCGCCTCCTTTGCGATTACGATGACTTTCACGATTTCCTGTGTCCTCGGCGGTCCATTTTTGACCACTCCTCTTCATATCTGTGCCAAGCTTTCTCCCATCCGTTTCTTTGCTCGTCCTTTTCCGGACTTGCTGGACATCCGCTTGTCATTCGGCCAGTTGCTCAGTCATTAGTTGGTCTACACGGAGCGCAAGCTGCCGATAGGGTTAAATGATTCAACGAGAGGGGAGCGGGGACCTAATGGCTTGCCGGGAACTCCATCAAACTCACATGCCGTCCTCTTTCTCGTCGATCTATTTCGGGATCGGCTTCTCGAGGATTCCTGCCTAGGGATCTCGGTGGGATGAATCCGGTGTTGATCGAATTCAAACCAACCCCCGGACTGACAGCTGCATACCCAGCTTCGGAGTTATGAAATCATCTCAGGCATTCGCTCGCTCAACCGGAATTACCCACAGGTCCAGCCAGATGAGGTATCTAGCGCCTGAAGCTTGATTTTTCCAGGGGAAACTTGAGCTCAAATAGTACTTCCGGGATATGACACTTCTAGTCAGACACAAGAGCGCTGAGATTCTTCGAGCTCAAGCGACGAGGTATGAAGTTCCGATTCCGGCGAAGCTTTTTGCTACCTCTCGAAGTTTCACTCCCATGCAGGGATATGTCGATCTGAACTGAATTTCTGCGCGCCGAACTCGTCTGCGATGCGCAACGATGTGGAAAATGCCGTATTCCTGCTCTCGGTGGTGAGACCAGTCCCGAAAAAATGACATGAAGTTTTGAGCCTGATGGAGAGCGGATATTCGACTCCAGTCGCGCTTCTGTGCTCCCATGTGCATCCTATTCGCAGAAGATTGTGATTCATCATTGAATCATCAGGTGCAGACCGTCGTGAAGGATGGTGTCGACGACTCCCGCCACTGCACTCAGCTAATCTCATGTTGGTCGGAGATCCTCTCTGCATAGGGATTCTCAGTCAGCCTCCGACCTGAATTCATGTATGTATGTATATGTATCGGCTTGTTTCGGAACTTTCTGTGTCTCGTACTAAGAATATGGTGGGGTACACGCAATCTAAGGCCAGGTAGATCGGGACCCGAAAGAAACGGAATCGCAGTCTTCGTACGCAGCCACAAGGATGCTTAGTCGACGCGTCGGGCTGAGAGAGTCGGAGCCACGCAACCGTTTATTCGGGGGAGCGAGGAGGACGGAGAACGCTGGCAAAAAGTGTGAAGAAGCGTGCGCCTCAAAGTGCTCACTCTAGAAAAGGCAGCGTTTAGTAAAATGACTCTTCCATTGATACGGGGTATCTACGGCGCACTTCGCGACTGTCGACGATGGCTTCGCGAGATCTTTACAGGTGAGTGAACGAAGCCAACAAAGTGTTACTTGCAGCAGAGAAGAAAGGTTCTCGGTGGGATACCGAGATGCGAAGACCGGCCCCGTTTCCTTTTTGCGTCGCCATCGTCATCGCTGGCTATGAGCCACAGCAACAGCATCGCTGACAGCAACGGCGGCGGCGGCGACAGTCACATTTCGACCTTGTTCGCCGGAGCGTACATCAGAAGCCAAAAATCCTATGCAACCCTCAAGCAGAGGAGACAGCTCGACAGGTTTTGCTTTACGACTTTCTTTCGGGCTGCAGGCTCAGATGGTTGCTAAGAGAGCGGATATTCGACGGGGAATCTCGGGTGGAATCGGGGCGCTTGAAGGCGAGAAAAAGGAAGCGCCTGAACGCAGGTGAATAAGGGTCCGGGGAAGGTTCGCCATTTCACATTTCGAGACAGAGCCCAAGCCTAATGCGTCAAAGATTCCGCCGGCTACCCAATCTACATTTGCGTCTTGTCGTGAGGAGCTAATCTGCCATGACGCGCTGCGGAAGGAAACACGTATATCAGGCCAGTGTCGTGACACTCGACAGAAAACAAAGAGAATAGAGAATCAACAATAGCATGTCTCCCGCCGCTGTCATCCTATCTGCGAGGATCAAGGAGAGATCCCTCGGCGAGCCAGGCTGTGCTCTTTGCTCATGCCGACTCGGAAAGAATCCCCCAGCGGAAAGAGTGTCCCGTGGAGGTGAGGATTGTGGGAAGGTGCGCGCAAATGCATAGAACAGTCTGAGATGCGCATTAGGTGGTAGTCGAGACCAGGTGAAAAATAGGCAGGTGATGATATCGGTTCCCTTTCGAGGAAGAACGTAACGACTGACTGTCGGTAGACGATTGGGAACGGCGAGCGCTCAAGTGATTTCTCTCAGAAGCAGGAAAAGATGACGAGTTCGTCGAAGGCGAACTTGGATGGTCATCCTTCGAAGCAAGAGATGCCCAGAGCAAACTAAGATACTTCGAAAGAGTGAGATCGATGCCTGAAAATAGATGGCCGAAAGCGATCTTGAGAATGATGGAGCTCACTCTGAAGAAAACCAAGGCGTACCAGGAGACCGAACGACTTCGAGCAAAATACAAGTGCTCAGACATCAGTCTCCAATTCGATGTAGAAGGACGCCCGCTCTCGAATATCTTCAACAAAAGGATCAAAGAGAGGATACGAGAGACCCAAGAGGCGATGTGGAGAGACAACATGCTCCTCAAGACGAGCCTCAGTACCTACGCCATAGGAAAGAAGACTCGAGGTGTAACTAGCTTCACCTACGATAACAGTAAGGGAAGCGCCCTCCTAGCTTTGGCCAGAGCCAACATGTTGCCAACCAGAGCCCACAAGATGTACCCCGGAACCGACAAAACCTGTCCCAGGTGTGGCATCTACGAAGAGACGATGGAACACGTCATCTTCGAATGCAACGACATCTACCACACGGGAGAAGAACTCCTGTGCCGTCTCGGACTCCACGAAGGAGCAAACAATGCAACCGAAGTAAGAAGGACAAAAAGAATCCTGGAGGACTGGGACAAACAACGATCTGCTGAATTTCGCGCCTGATATGAAAGGCTGATTGACTATGTATATACAAACAAACAGATATACACCTCAATCTAGATCACAATAAACCATTAACCATTAACCATGATCCGGGAGCGATAAATAATCGACTCTCTTCTCTTGTACCCCTCTCCCTGATCCTCTCCTGGATAAACGGACCGCTTCCCTTCTCCGTTCGTCGAGACCAAAAACACTCCTTGGAGTTTTTATGACTCAGAGCGACGAGAACGGACGACGGCCCCGGCAACGAAAGGTCCGATAGAACTCCTGGATCTTTCTGACTTCACTTGAGAACGAATATCAACCGATCTCTCCGGGAAAACAACCGGGAGTCTCCCCCGGGCCATGGGTATTCCTCCTTTTCATGCGGAATGGTCTCCATTCACCTCATTCAGATATCTGGAGCACGTGGAGCATGGACGGGTGCAGAGGCAAAAAGACTATCTTCGACGACTCCGATCGTCTCTTCCGCCGCGATAGACGGTGAACTCGTTCGGATCTGAATTCAGAAATTTCCTCGATAAGCTATCGGAAATCCTCGACCCGGAATTCCCCGTAAGCCTCACCGCAGATCTCTGCCTCTGTTGCGAGGAGAAGTCTCCGATTGACAGAGAAGGTACTCCAGAACTCTTGGGACAAAGTTGCGACGGGAGCATCCCAGCTCGGGTCCAACCTTCGATTCGAAGGGAGCCCTAAATCTGAAGGATGGAATGCCTCGACTTCAGATGCCACGTGTGGAGCTCTCCCGAAAGCTTCGTGGGACGGATTTTACCGTGAGCGCCTCCAAAACATCTTTATGCAAGCTTAAAGTCATAACTTGTGCTCGAGCTAATCCACCAATCAGGGAATGGACGGTCATCTGAGAGACCTCGATGAGACAGGTGGGGAAATCCTTTCAATTAAAGACAGGGCAGCTCCGCCCGTGACTCCGCTGAGCAAATACTTGCGGGCTCCCATGAGATTGTTGGACACCTTTAGGCGAGCTTTTGAAACCCTCAGTCTACAGGCTCCGCTCCCCCTCAGAGTTGGTCATTTGCGGCTTTGTGGCCCGCCTGACCCCTCATGTCTGATGCCAAGCGAAAGTGCAAGTCAAGCACTTCCCCGCAACTCCGGTGGGACCTTGATCTGCTCGTCCGAGAGCGGTTCTCTGAGTCTTCGTCTCTTCTCCTACGGAACCGAATCTGCCTGCTCCCGAGCACAGTAACTCCTCGGGGATCAAGATCATTCGGTATTTCATGTTCCTCGCGCATGCCGGGGAGGGATTTGGGCTCTCCATCAAGTGACTTCCGTCGTTTCCCCCGGAGTTTCAGGAACCGTGAGCGGCGTTGAGGTTTCTAACTCAGGGTGAGATCGCGCTCACATTCTGAGAGCATGGGTTTCGATTCGGCTGGATTGAGCTACGGAGACTCGCTTAGATGAGCCAGGAGGTATCTGAAGGTCGGACTTGAGATTGACGACATGAGCGTTGCTAGGAGGTCGTCTGCCCGACCCTGCAGCTTCAGCTGTGGAATAGATTCTCGATCTCCTGAGTTGTCGATGGGGTACGAGACCCTGACTCCGCGAGTAGACACAGCAAGTGAGAAATCGAAGAAGATTGCATAAACGTGAAGATGTATCCGAGCGCTAGGGTCACTCTTGATTCGTTGATTCAATTTCTGGATACTAGGGAGCTCTATCCGTAATAATTCGACATCGAAAGCTCTCTGAATCGAAATCACCGCATCGGATAGGAATCGGGATTGAGCGTCTGAGCTATCACGAAGGTGCGTTACCCCGAGAATCTAGCATCGCGCAAGTCAGTCACCTGCTCATCTGCCGCGACGGGCCGAATCATCTCCCAGAGGGTCAGTGATAGGGTCAGCACGCAGTGGAGAGAGAGGAAAAAGAATCCGGTATAGAGCCCACGGATTCTCGCCCGAAAAGCAACCCAGATTGCGGCTCTCCCAAGAAGCAAGAAGCCTCTCTGGAGGCGAGTAAGATTAGATCCAGCATGAGTCTGAGAGACGTAAATCGCTTTGCGAATTAAAACGGATTGTTGGACATAGAAATGTGCGAGAAGTGATAGTGCCGTTGTCGGCAGGCCGACTTCGGCTCGAGCCGAGGGAAGGAACTTCAACGCAGTGACTCAGAATTGAGACCCAATCGAGTCCGATCGTTGAGACGCTCGAGTCCAGCGAATTTTCCCCGTCGCTTGTTCACCGGAATTTTAAGTGAATCAGAGAAGCCGGCCAAGCCGGAGCGTGGGCTGGACCGTGCACAGAGCCGAGAGCGAGGCACCTCGAATCTCAGAGAGCTCGTTGCCGCTCAAAGCCTCTCAGGAAGATCCTGCGAGAGCTCTCGAGTTGTTCTTCTCTCCTGAACACAACATGTATCGTGTTTGCGTCATGACTTCCAGAGAGGAATAACGCCCGCGAATCAGATATAATTTGATGGGCTGAGATTTGAACAGGCTCGATTCCAGGCAATCGCGGACAGGAATTTTGATGCTCATAGAATAGGTGACTGACTCGAACTCGAGGGAGCTAGCGGAGGGACAGCCATCGGATGCCGGTCGACAGGCCGACTCTCACTCTGTGGCGCCGAATTGAGCCAGAGATCAAAGCATCACAAAGCTCCACGAGGAGAGAACGAGAACAAATCCTCATTTTCTCTCGAATTTTTTCCCTCATTCGATCGTCGAGTGAGGAACTGAGTGTATTGACCGAATGTAAGTTTCCTCGACCCAGCACAGAGCGATCACATTTGACAAGCGATTGCTGTCGACTGACTCGACTGACTTGACATTGTCACACGGCCAGCTACTCACTCAGTCATTAAATAGTCGAGACGGTCTCCGGGACGACGATGGGCTTAAATGATTCAACAGGGCAGCAGCTGGAGCATGATGACGCTGCAAAAAGCCCTCATCGGAACCACATGATAATTGGGATCATTCGCATAACTGACCTTGGGCTCGAGCCGCGCAGACTCAGAAGTTCGTTCTGGGTTCTCTGTCTTCATCCCAGCTGCGCCGACGCGGGAGAGGAGGTCTCCCGAGATCAGTCGGACTCAGTGATTAGGGAGAAGGAAGGGAAGCAAGCAGAGCTCCCGCGACAGAATCCCGGATCCCTGAGCGGACGCGAACGAGTTTCGTAAGGGTCCGGTATCAATTTCGTTCAGGGGAGGACGTGAGGCTGGACTTCGATTCCATAAGAATTCACGTCTCCTCATTCGAGAAACCCAGGCGGCTTCGCTTCGCCATCGTTGCGTCAGTGCGAATCCATTGGTCCACGCCGGGAACGTCATCCGGATGATGGGCCGAGGGAAGGCGCACCGCGGTCAAATGGGAATGTGATAAAAATTTCACCATTATCTGTTCGTCCGCCGGCCCTATCGCCCGTTCCCTGTCGCTCGTCCGCCCGCCCGACTCGCCGCAGGTCCTCTCGCCGTTATCGTTCTCGAAGTCTGTGTCGTCTCCGTCAACAAGGCAGAACAAAACACGGACCGGCATCGGTGTCACGGCCTTTTGACGTCTCTTGCCCCTGTTGTGACTTTGCTGACTTTTGCTCCCTCTTCTAGGAGCAGGTGTTGACTTATTAACCACCATATCATGCGTGCAGATTACTTTCCGGACTTTGCATGACGCCTAGAATACTTAATCAGTTTGATGGAGCGTTCAGACTTTCCTCTTACGGTACGGACATTGGCTGCTCAGTCGTTTCTCTCCGTCTGGCGGAGAAAAAACCGCATGATCGGTCGTCCCCTATGACTTTGGCTACCTCTGACTTAGCGACCGAGCATCACAGGAAAAGGCTCGCCGATATATAAGTTTCGGCTGCTCAGTTCATGAAGGCATCGCACTGCTCTCTGTCGATCGGTCTCCTCCTCTTCCATTGGACGTCTCGACTTCTATTCTTCCCGCTGAGACTTGTTTCTCCGGCCAGTCCTCCGGCCAAAATTAGGTCGTATGTCGTCGGGTCGTATGTCGTCCTTTTTTTGCGGCAACGACCTGCAAAAATCCGACCAAACTACGGATCCTCACTCAGACCCGATGCCCGAGACCGGCAGTGACTGGCTACGATGACATCGCTGATGAGATGGTGCGTAAAAACTCGGGAATCCCCTCCGTCCCGTCGTGGGAGTCGGTCTATAGCTCTCCTAGGACGCGCCGAACTTCCACAACGCATCGACGGTCGGCCGAGTCCTTATATGACGCGTTATTTCATTCTGTTCCACTTTCTCGGAATCGCGGAAGGAACAGAACATGCCGAGCCGGCGCCTGTAATTCAACTCATAAATCTTGAAAAATGATCGTTGAGACAGCTCCCCTTACGGCATCCCGACTTGATCCTGAGCGGAGCATACGATTTCTTCCCGGTTTCGTCTTCGGAAAACGGAGCGCGGCGGAAGGTCTCGAAGGTGCGCAGACGAGTAGGTACCTGCCTACGCTCTTGTCTAAACAGAGATTAGTTAGTGTTTCGCATTTCTCCGCCGCGAGCTCGAGTGTCATATGCCACGGAGGCTCTTGTTGCTACCGGACAAACTTTCGTCGCTGTCTCCTAATTTGCCCAACTCGCTTCAAAGGAAAACACCTAATATACTACATAGGTGTCACGTGAATCTACGAGAGACGAAGAACTTCGGAGTATCAAAGGCAAAGCGAATCGACCGGCCTATGCCGCTTACCCTTGGAGCCTTAGCGGTAATGGTGTTGACACAGGATCAGACCACAACGACGGGTTCGGTGGCCGTGCCATGGATTCGTTCCCGGGATTGTGGAGAAAGAGAATCATAGCTCATGGAAGCGCCGAAAGAAAAATGAATTCGCGTGTTGGGGCACTGTTTCACAGCGAGGTCGGTCTGTTGAGAGTAAACGCCGCGCGCGTCGGAAGCGCAGAGGAAAGCGATTCGTCTGTCTGTCGGGCACTAACTCAGCTCAAACAGGCAGCTTCTATTCAGACGGAGTGCTGCTCCTCCTGCCTAGGTTCCGTCGCTGCGGTCTTACGAGGGCGACGGCTATTAGCATGGATATGAACTTTCTCTCCTTCTTGTACTCGAGCTCTTGTCGATGTCGTACC